GCGGGGGAGGGGGTGCGGGGCGGCCCGAGTGTCGACACCCGCCTGCGCCGCCACCGCCGTGCAGGAGGCCCGGGCTTTCTCGCTCCGACGCCGCCGCCGTCGCCGTCGCTGCTCTACGTGCCAGAGAGCACGGCCCCCCTTCACCGCTGCGACCGACCGAAGACTGCGCGCTAGGCTGGGCGGCCGCAGCTTCGAATTCAGCGACAGATTCGGGGAGTGTTGGGCTAAAGGGTGTGGCGGCACCGCGGGGTGCCCGGAAAATGCTCCAGCTGTCCGAATTGAGCGCGTGGACGACCCGATTCGTGAACGGGTACGAATCCCGTTCGTTTCCTTCGAATCCCCTGTTTGTTTGTCAGTTCGAATCTTGTTCGTTCGTTCCTCCTGACCGGTTCCCGTTCGTTCGTTCACGTCCAGATACCGTTCGTTCGTTCCTCATGTCCGCATTCCGTTCTTTCGTTCATTCATTCGTTCCTTCCGACCGAATCCCGTTCGTTCGTTCTTGCTGTCCTGATCGATCTTTTTTTCATCACTCCATTTTTCATCTTTATCCGATGATAAATGACAATAGAAGTACGAGGAAATCATAGTACTACGAAACAATTGCGAAGTCATTAAGCTTAACATGAAGATGGTTATCTCCCTTCGCAACATAAAAAAATAAATTAACGTCGTGAGTGCAGTAGGTGCAAGTACCTCTAAATGATATCCTAGGTCTACCGAGCCCAATGGAAGACCTGCATGTTTAAAGTATCGCTAAACCACACAATTTCCTTTATCTCAGTAATTAGTAATTCGGCGTTTAAGTTGTCTGGGAGTTTATCACAATCGACTACAAGTACGAAATAAAACTATGCAATCTTACCATTTTATTCACATCCCTACCCATCCAGTCTCACTCCAATTTATTAATGAAGAAAAATCACCCGCCCGTGAACTTATTTATTTCAATTGAACGAGTCATTTATTTGTTCAATCCACTACTCGCTTTATTTATTACCGATTCATCCATCCATGTCCGATTCTTTATTGACTCTTCCAACATTTCTTTTAACCATTGATTAACCCATTCAGTCGGTTGATATAATTATTATTTATGCAGGATCCATTGATATTATTATAAGTATTGATTACTCATTAATTCACTAATTAACACTTTGGGAAAAAGCGCATTCATTAATTCATTTACACTCGGAAAAAAGTACATTCATGAATAATTTCATTTACACGTTAGAGGGAGAAAAAATACATTAATTAATTCCCGAACGCCCGCATTAATTCGATCCTCCTCCTCTTTTAGCCCCGCCGCCACCCACGCATCCACCGCATGCGTTCGCGCCTCGTGGTGCAACCCGAGCCATTCATTCGCCTGCCAGGCGGCGGGTGCACCTCGCGCCTCTCAACACGGTCTGCGCACGGCGCGGCGCGGCGCGGCGAGCGCAGGCCGCAACGCCGGCGGCGGCCCCGAGCCCCACATCCCAACGAGGCCACTGCCAAAACGCCCTGCCACCGCCCCCCTCCTTCCCCCCCGCGCCACGGCCCCGCCCGCGCCGCTACTCGGCCAGCGTTGCCGCACCGCGCATAGCACACTATTTTTTTTTTCCTTTTTTCCTTTTTTTAAATTTATTTATTTTTTATTTTTATTTGTTTATTTTTATTTATTTTTATTTGTTTATTTTTATTTATTTTTTATTTGTTTATTTTTATTTATTTTTTATTTATTTTTTGTTAAAATAAATATGAAATGCTATAAATTAATAATACACTTTTGCTTGTATCGGTGGATCAAAGATGGGGAAGGTTCAGCGGGTTGCAGTCTACCCCCTTCCCCCAAACCCCGATTCTGTATATTCACAGATCAAGATTTGGCTAATTTTCTGTTGCATCGAAAGTTAGTAAATATTTCAATGTAATACGTTATCACGTTATACGTAGCTATTAAATAACTTTTACTTTAAAATACTTTTTTTTTAAATTAAACATACGTGAAGAAAACCCGTTTCTTTGTTCGAATGTGATACTACGTGAAATGTTAGAAATTAATACTGTACCCTTGCGTGTATCGGTGGATCAAAAATGGAGAGCGGTTCAGCGGGTTTCACTCCCCTCCTTCCAAGATGCTGATGCTGTATATTCACAAATCGTGTTCTTGCTAATTTTTTGCGGTATCGAAAGTCATTCAAAATCTCAATGTATTAACGAACACAACTAAAAGTTAAATTCAGCATAAATGAAACATTCTTTGCAAGGAAACCACCAAGTTGTCTGGACGCTTACACACAATGCCACCCCCTTCCACTACAAAAAAACTTAGTTACGTCACTGGCAGCATGTAACAATCGTCGTTTTGCAAGCAATGCTATGAAATCAATTAGTATGACGTTCATTGTCCGATGCAAATACGTTTTCTTTCACTGGGAGTGAAAATGTTTCGTTTTTCAGATGTTGCTAACCTTGCTTTGACAGTGTGTTTTTATTCAAAAATGTCTAGTAAGAGAGATTCTGGAGCTCTCAAGAAAATGTGTGGAGGTTACACTTCCCCTCGATGCTTCACAATGAAGTTTTACTGTTTTTTGACGATCAATAAATTTAACTTAATTGCATCAATCATATCGCCGGCGGATAAGAAAAAAAAATTATCGCTTCGCAAGAGAAGAGTTTTATCCAGAGCAAAGCAGTTTATTTGGCGCTCAAAAAAAGTGTTTTACTCTGTATACATAGGCTGTCTTGTAAACTATCGATGAGGCATTTTTCCTTACAAAAATAAGCCTATTATCTTAACATATTTCCTTATTTAAAAAAATTACGATTTTTGCTATGTGTCATTTGTGAACAAGCGTCAATGTAACGAAAGAAAAAAAATGAATGTATTATACTCTATCTTCTGTACAAAACGTTTTAATACCTGCAATAATTATTTTAAAACAATATTCTACAAAAAAATTATCTTGATTACATATTACTAAACGTGTGATTTAACGGGCTAAAAAGGAAAAGAAAAAGAGAAAAAAAATCTCTCTAACACAGCCCAATTCCAAAAGTAAACGCAAAACGAGAATTTTGAGTTGTTGCCTTTTGGAACTGGGCCGTCGATATTTCTTATGTAGTATCTCCGGGCAGAATCGGGGCCGAAGAAAGGAACAAGGATCTGCCACTAGCAGGAAGTATATGGGTGTGTGTGTATGCAAAAGTGTGGAATTTCTAGTTCGTGGGGAGAAAGTGTGAGCACGGGAAAAAGTGCTGGAATTTTTACACGAAAGCGATCCACCAAGAGAGAATGTAAATATTACAAAAACTGGATACAGTATTTGCTAATATTGAAACCTACAAAAAACAAGATCCATTAAAGTTAAACGGATTCTATACTTCCCCTTCCACAAATTAAAAAAAACAACAACAGTGGTTTGCAAGAAGAATTGAAATTGCGAAGAAGTAGAACGAGGTGCCGAATAAAGTAAAACAGAACGACGAAGTAAAACAACGTGGAATGTCGATAAAAAAACGCGGGCATAAGGAATCAGTCAGAACGCAGATGATGGTAACACTTGGGAGACAGAAGCGCGCCTATCTCCTTTCCGCACCGATACTTGCGAGAAATTCACCCGCTGCAGGCTCACCCGGCCGGCGGAAGGATACATTTCGCATTGCGAGGCTTTCTTCGGCGACGCTCAACTCTTTTTTAGAACCCGTCAAAACAATCGCCCACTGGGCCGTTATCCCAGAATAAACTCATTGTTGACCCCGCCACTTACTCCGCGTAGAGGCGACGCTCTGTATAGAGTCGCGCAATGTGGACGCAAGGAATCCTTCCGAATCTTGAACATACGAAAGAATCCAGGCGATTAATCTTGGAAGACGGAAACGCCCCCTCAAACTATCCCTACCTTTTTCCCGCTCTGACACTTGCGAAGAATTCGCCCGCTGCAGGCTCATCCGGCCGGCGGAAGGATACATTTCGCATAGCGATGCTTTCTGCGGCGACGCTCTCTTTTTAGAAACCGTCAAACATTCGCACCTCACTGGGCCGTGTATCCAGAATAATCATTAGAACCCGCCGTGAGCGCGGACATTGCGGTTATCTGACATTGTGTGGCATGTGTGTGCGTGTAGACTAAGGGTAGTTGGGGGGGGGTGCGGGAGCGGGGGGGGGCGGGAGGGGTTACGTGGCCTGTTGGCGCACGACGCACTTTCCCCGCGAGCCGTCACGGCCCCATGTCAGTGGGGCCCCGCCCCCCTCTGCCTCCGCCACCGCCCCGCTCCTACTGCTTCGCGGCGACTGTCGTCGTCGTCGGCGTCGGCGGCGGCGGCGGCGGCGACGCTTCCGGGCCGGACCAGGCCAGGCAGGCCCGGTCCGACCGACCTACCGCTGGCTCGCTCCATCCCTGAGGGGAGCTTCGGCGCTAACGACACGGATATCGATGTATTTAACATCTATTTATTAATGCCGATAGGTTTTCAACATCGATGTTTTCAAACCATCGATTTATTGAAGCCGATATTTTTCTAACATCGATGTATTTAACATCGATTTATTGAAGCTGATGTTTCCAACATCGATGTTTTCAAACCACTGATTTATTGAGGCCGATGCTTTTCTAACATAGATGTTTCCAAATCATCGATGTATTTAACATCGATTTATTGAAGCCCTTATGTTTCTATCATCGATGTTTGGAGCTCAATATTTTTTTTAGTTGATATTTTATATTTGAATGAAAGAAAATATATTATAAAAACTACAATAACTTTTAGATATGCACAAAATGAATATTCTTCAGGCCAAAGTGACCAACGTAAAAAAAAAGGCAGTCGAATTTTGTCGATAAACTTAAGTGTATTGTTTTTATAGTGTCCAATCACATAATGAAAGTTTTATTTATTATTCTCATAATTCTTTGAGTTTGTTTTGCCAGCTAAATCTCAACGATAAATCAATAAATACGATACTCAGAGGTGGCTAAGAGTGTGTAGCGACTCGGGGCTTCGGTCTTAAGGATCGCGTGTTCGAGTCCCGCCTTGAGCATGGTTGTTTGTTCCTCGTCTCTCGCGTACGTGTCGGCGCGGATGGCCTCGCGTACTTTGTTGGGGCACTGCTCCAGCATTCGTCTGGTCTACATTGGAGAAACCACGACAAAAACTATCGATCAGAGCAGCGGGCAGCCGGACTTCCCCTGACAGCGATTGAATTCGACCTAGCTAGGTCGAATTCAATCGCTGTCAGGAGAAGTCCGGCTGCTAGGGTGGAAAATCCTGTCAGGAAAATCCTGACTCGCACCCTAGGCCCACCCGGTCGGAGACACTAGATCGACAACAGTTGTAGCCCTGAGCCACCTCGGCCGGTAGAGCCCCTCCATGGGCGATAATTAAAGTCTAGAGAAACCAACGCTCCCTGTACAAAACGGACTGTAATAAAACTGTCAAAATAAAACCCTGATCCGAAGCTACTTCCGAGTATGAAAGGTTTGCTTAAAACTGGCGGTGAAAACGCTACCAAATACTTCCATTGTACAGATTTCTCGCATATTTGGAACGACTTGATCTAATGTCACCAAGCAAGTGACGCGAATTGCGTTAAAACTGGCCGGTCTGTTCAGGTCAGAAGACGAGTTTCTAGAGGTTCTAAAACGGTTGAGCACCGCTTTGCGACTGCATCGCTCTGCGATTCTTTAGGGCCCCCAGCTGCTAATGCCTCAATGTGCCAGCTCATTGGGTGCAGTTAGAGGTTAGGGATAGTTTTGACGAGTGATTTACATCGTTCCGTTACATCGTCACTAAAAATAATATTGTGATAATTGATTCAAATTAAGTCGAAAAACAAAGGCGAAAACGTATTCGTGTGATTAAATCAAATGGATGTAAACGGACAGGCCATAATACCGGATTTCAAAGAACCCATGTTGTTTACTTCGATCACGCTTTTAATCAAACTTGCAATAGACAATATTTAAATTAAAGAATTATACATGTAATTAGCATAAGATACGTTTTAATGTGCACTCTTCTAGCATTTTAGCTACATAAATATTGGTACATTGGCTTCATGCAAACGTTCTCCCGTTGGTGGAATAACAAATGGTTAACAAATGGTTGGTGGAATAACATTGATACGGAATGCAACAGCTCTTCACAAGTCAGTCAACGTTTGTGACATGAATAATAATCTTTTTTGTGTGCTACTCACCGCCCACGCCCGAAAATATTGGTTTTCAATCAACGATTGAAAAAAAGCACACATGAGTGAACAGGTCACAACAACGAACCTGTGTAAGGTTACGACCTAAAGCTTCACTTCACAGGATCAAGACTAATGTGCTCTATTGCTCTCAAAGTTACTTCACGCTAAGCTATGAACAAACTCACAATTACTCCCATTTTACACTGTTCAAACAATTAATTAACTTTCCTGGCTAATAAATGTCTCTGATAAATTCACTAGCAACGTCGGGTTACTTCCAGAAGTTAAATCAAAACTGAAAAATATTTTTCGTAATTCTGTACTGTTAATTTATCGATTTCAAGCAACGAGACGAACGAAAAAACCCTCTAGGCATCAGGCATCCGTTATGGATTTATCAACTGCAGCAC